TTCTCCAGAGAGCTGGGTCTTCGCATAATGTGTCTGAAGTAGGATAATTTAAGCCTGGTCATTTGTACCTCAAGTTACTTTAGTATATGTCTTCCTAATTTTAGTGTAGCACAGGCAGAATGTAGGGAAAAATAGCATTCTATTTAATACCTTATAATTTCACGTGATGTAACAATATGATTGTTACACACCATGCTTTTCTTATTTTTAGAACATGACATATTTTGAAATAAAACATTTTATTGTTCACAAACTTAAGCTGGGAAACAAAAGCAGTATTCTTCAGAAAGAATATTTTCTTTAAAAATCATATTTAAATCTTATGAATACAACTTTGCATCTAAAAATGGAGATAAAATGTATTAATAAAAAACACAATAGCAAACATGATTTCATTTATTTCCATGAAACTGGGATAGATTTTTATAGGCCACGGTCAAAGTCAAGCAAACATACTACTGTTTCCATCCCCCTTATTTTCTCATGTCTTCTGACTCATCCAGATCTCTTTCTTGATGTTCTCTTTCCCACCTCATTTCTTTAAGCTCTTGCCGGTACTTCCGTTCAATGAACCGTTTTTGATGGGCCATCTGAGGAAAATTATCTGAGACGAGAAGAAATATTTCATTTAAATAAAGGCCAGCCAATGACACAATCTTACCACCATCAGAAATAACATCCAGCTCTTATTGTTTTATTACCAAGTCAGTACAAAGAGCACTTGTTGCACATACTGGTTTGGTTATAAGCCCCTATTTACTTTGAAGTAACCTACTGATTTATGTGGCGCATAATTCTAAGTACATGTGAATAAGATTTATCACATTTGTTAGCAATCCGAATGATTTAAATGGAGTAATATTAGTCACAATGCCATAATAAATACTGGGATTTGGTTGAGATGCCACCACAAAGCTATGGAGTATTTAACTGTATTTTCTATTTTATGAAAGTTTCTGTAGAAATCTTTGTGAGTCGATGACTGATTAGAGATCATATTAGGAACGTAAGAAGATGAGTGATTCTTGTGTTCCATAAAATACTTGTTCTGCAAGCTTCTACTATAAAACATGTCACCAGGATGGCTGGAAAGATCCTTATTATGATGATAAAATTCTACCATAAAACATAGATTATTAATGGATTATGCTGAGAAGTCCTGAAAAACCCTATCATTCTTCATCAAAGATGAGAAGAGGCCCATCTGGAGCTTATCAAGCCAATTTTCCTTCATTACTACCATAATAGGCGTTTGTGTGTGAGAGAAACAGGGACAGAGAAGCTATTAGGCTCTTAAACACCAAGGGACACAACCTAGAAGCCAAAATCTGTTAATACAACTCAGCAAAAGTGGTGCAAAATAATATATATAAACATATCAACAATGGTGATGCCAGATGGAAGGTCACTGTGGAAAGTGTTGCCTGTGTTGGATTTTGTGCCAGAAAACAAATTGCCATTTGTGATAGATGAGCTAGTGCTGATGCTGAAACAGCTGGTGTCCTTGGGAATAGGAGGCTTGACACCAGCACCACATGGGAAATGGAGCTGAAGCAAAGGGTGAAGGAAGAGGTGTGGAAAGCAAAGCTTTGACGTTTTTGAACTCAAGAGTATCCTATTAAGTAAATCGCTTCTCCAAAACAATGTGAAATTTTGCAGGAGAAACTATCCCTGTGGTAAAGTGTCAGAAGCCTCCAAGAGTGGATGATGCTTTTAATAGCTAAGACTTCATTCCCATGGAACAAGGCATTTATGTAAGAGCTGTGCAAAGAGAATCCTTTCTATCCTATTGTTTTCATGAACAATTGGTTTACAATGGAAGACAAGACTTAGAGAGGTCTCATCTTCTGAATTTTCTCCAGAATCACCTGAAGCCTTGGTCAGTCTTCAGCAGTTCTGTATTATTCAACACAACTCAGTTAAGAATAAGTACACAATCGAGTTAAGAATGTTTGACATTACAGTATCAGAGATTTACCTAGCCAGATAACGTAAGAACTTGTTTCTCATGAGAATCCCAGATCTGGCTTTGAAAATATATGATTTAAATTAAAGGCAAGAAGTATGCAACCTTTTTTGGCTGGGCCCTGCATTTGGCCTTTAAAGGCACATGCTCAAATTAGTAGGTGATGTGATTTTCACACTTATCTTAAGTTAATATTATTGTCCTTTCATTTAAATCAGCCTTTTGAGGTAGGCCAGGCCACACTGCAGGGATTCCAGGAATGCCACTTTATTATGTTGGGTATAACAACAGAATCTTGAAAGCCTGTCCAAGTTTCTCTCTGCCCCATCTTATACTAAAGATTAATTAATCTTTAGTATAAGATAATTAATACTTAATTAAAGAAAATAATTAATACTTAATTAAAGAAAATTAAGGCAGGCTTACTGTGAGTTTCTTTCACTTGCTTCAATCTCTGGACTGTGTAATCTCTTCCCCAGGTCCCTCTTTAATGGCTTGTTCCTTCCTTCCCCAAGATCAGCTCTAAATTCCTTCATGTTTAACTAATGTCCAGTGTTAGGAATTGTTTTAAAGGGTTCTGGGGGGTTGCCTACAAGACTTGAGAGCACATCTGGCTCAGAAACCCCAGATTCTGTATCCATCAGGTTCAGCCCCAGGCCTCCATATCTTCCACATTCATATCAGAAGGCAAATAATTAACATAGAACAAATGTAAAAATGGAAATCTCTCAGAAGCACACATTTAATGAAAGAAAAGCCAAACATTTAAGATGTGGGCCAAAGATTACAGGCTGGCTGACAGAAGTAGACAAGCTCAGCTCTGATAGATAAAGCTCTGCTTCAATAAATAAAGGCAGGCAACCTCTGTCAGAGGTTTCAATAAGATGGAGAGTTACCTAGGGTTGTAATACAAAGATTTAGGTTCCCATTTGGCAGTAGCTTCTGAGTTTTGCCATCCGTCTTACAAGGTGAGCACTCTGCCCCCATCTAACAAAATAGCGACTTTATTTTAATCACCATGCCTAGATCATCAATGTCAGAGGAATACTTGCAGGCCTGAATTTAAGCATGGGCTTAAGTGCTTTGCTGGACCTAGGCCAGAGAGCTCTGCACTTTACTTGGCTGAATCCCTGATGATTAGATCTGAAACATGAATGCTTCCAAGGGATTATGATGATAAGGGGGAGAAAGCTAGACACAAAAGTGCAGAATAGCAAACAAATTTTTTTTTCCTATCTCAGCTGAACTTTGACCAAAATACAAGTCAACTTCAAAGGGCTCAACCCTGCAAGTGACATTTCTCAACAGGGAGAAGGGATTTTATTTAGAAGTGGAGTCCTTGGTTCTTTCCCATAGTGTTCTCATGCTGTATTAATGTAAGCCTAACCTTGTGTCAACATCAATGGCTACCTCAGCCTGAAGCCAACAACTAGCCCATCTTCCAAAGAAATCCTCTGCTGATGCTTGCTCATCTCATTTTTTCAAACAAGTCTCCTTGGTAGTTGCCAGGGGCAGTGTTGCATGAGATCCCACTCCATGTTAAACTATCACAAATGCTGGGCAACCTGTAATGGTCTGTGAGATTAACCCTAAGAGACTGGAGGAGCCGCAGCCTAGACAACAGTCAGACAAGAGCTATTTCAGCCCATAGAAGAAATGGGGGAGGAGAAAGTATCTCAGAAGGGACCCTCCCTAGTTCTCTGGAAAGTAAAGACAAGGAGGGGAGAAATGTTTTCAGACTTGTAACATTCTTTTACTATAACCTTACAATAAAGGTAGTATTACTACTCATGGTTTTTGTTTCCTGTCTGGACTACCACAAAGGGCTGACACAATCTGAGCACGTGGCAACCACGTGCTAACCTATATGGAAAGAGGAGTCTGTATCTTGTGAAGTCCTACACTGGTGATTAGAGACAGTCCATGAACCTGGAGGTCAATGCCTATTGGCAGACCCGTGCCTAAAAGCCAACGTGAATTTTTAAATCAGCCATGACTTTAGAGATAACTGAATGTAAAAGTTTGTTCCATTAGAAAATAATTAGTTTAAAAACTAACAGGAATGATAATAGTAAACAATGCTCGGGCACATACCCACTTGTTTACTTTAACCTGTATTTTCCCTCTGTTGCACACAATGCCTACACTCTTCCCCATGAAATACTCTACAGTGATTTGCAAGAAATCCTCTTACATTTTTCCAGTGCATCCATTGCAGCACACATCTCTGCTTGTTGAATGCTGTAAAGATAAACAAATAAATTATGGCAAATGTAATTCAGAGGCAAGTTACAGCTTCCCAGAAATGCTGTGCAGTTAACTAATTTTTCAAATAATCACTAGGCAGTTGTTCCCATAAAATCTTTTCCAGTCCCCCCCCCCCCCATTTTACTTCTTTTCAGACCCTTATTTTAAATATAAAAATCCATTTATTTAATAAACCCCCTCCTATATATTTTTTTTTTTTTTATTTATA